TTTAGATGAATGTCAAAATGTATTGAATTACAAAAGTTTCGCAAGTCAGCCTTTTATGAAATGTGTTGTATCCAACAATTATTACGTGAGATTTTGTAAGTTGCTCATAAATGAGATTTCTTCTCGGTCTAGGATAATTACTAGAATCACAACTAGGGATTTATATGATCAGAGCCGGCTCTGAATTCTAGAAAAAAACCGCGAGGTACAAAAAAAGAGAATGGACAATTTCGAACAATAGAAAAAACGTTTTAGAAAACAAAATAAACTTAAAAACGTGCTAATGCCACTAGACCAAAGTTATCTTCTGTAATTTAAGGGCCGATTTTAATTGAAAAATATGAAAGCCTCACGCAAGCATGGACTTGCCTTGCGGGGCCCAGGGTCGGGCTTGTATATAAACAACAAAGATCCTATGTTATCTTCTATTTTCTATAATAAATACTCCGTCTTTAATCTCTCGTATTAGGGTTTTCCCTTAGCAACATTCTTTTTTTTTGTTAAAGGAGCACTACAACATTCTTCTTAGAAATTTCTCCACAATAATATTTTCTTTCGCTTAAAAGCCTAAAAAAGCGTTTTCATATAAGATATGGGAAATCAAATACAGAAGAGTCTCTCAGGTTCGTATGTCGTTGACGTTTCTCATGAATTCTTTCGACTTAAGTTTTGTTTGTTATTTTATTCTCTGAGAGTAGCAAATAAGTTTACTAGAATTTTTTGGATAACATGTTAAGAAGTTTACAAGATTTATTGTTTACCCCTCAAAGAAACAAAGACTAAGAAAATCATATTTTTGAAACAGATACGAGATTCACTTTAGATATAGATAACTTGTCCGAGAAGAAAGCTTCACTTTTCACTCAAACATTCTTAAGCGGTGGCTGCGAATGGTAAGCAAGAAGTATCAATGTTTTAGTTTTTTTTAATAAAAAAATGCATTATGTTAAATGATCATTTAGCCCTTACCTTATCTGTTGGGATTTTCTCTATAGAAAATTTTTTTTCTTAAACCATTTTTTTTCTTTGTATTTGATACATAGAACCTTCATACTAGAACTTTATTTATAGAGTTAGGATTCTAAACAATATAGTAAATTGTTATTTCCTAATGTTTGCATTTTTTTCATGATTTCCCTTTTCTCGAATTTCCTTTATTGCTTGATTTTTCTTTTGTTTATTTTTTCTTTTTTTTTGTTTTCCTTGATTTTTCTTATTACTTGATATTCCTTTTTCTGATATAAAAAACGAATATATTCTAACACTCTTTCTAGATTCGTTTGCTGTAGTTTCTATTTTCTCCCTCTTGAACAAAGCGCCTTCATCTTCAACCTTTGTAGTCTCTTCGTATTTTATCTCTATTGCTTTGTAGCAATCTTCCTTGACTGAAAATTTTATGGTTGACTCTGAACTTGAATCTTGATTCTTTTGTGGTTGTGTCTTTTCTTCTCTTGTCTCTCTTGCTTTTTCTGATAATTAACTTATGATTATCTTCTTGCACCTCTATTAACTTCTTCCAAACTTTATCCATGATTGTACA